AAAAGAAAAAAAAATTGGGGGATCCCTGGGTGGCGCAGCGGTTTAGCGCCTGCCTTTGGCCCAGGGCGCGATCCTGGAGACCCGGGATCGAATCCCACGTCGGGCTCCCGGTGCATGGAGCCTGCTTCTCCCTCTGCCTCTCTCTCTCTCTCTCTCTCTCTCTCTCTCTGTGTGACTATCATAAATAAATAAAAATTTAAAGAAAAAGAAAAAAAAATTGGAAAAAGCTGATCCATTTCAACACTTCTACCCATTCCCCAACCCAGGTTCAACATCCATACTTCTTTCAACCCTTCCTCATCTGACGTGGTTTCAAGAGTGTTCATTGGTTGAGTCTCCCCAAGCCTGGTTTGGCAGAGCAACTCTTAACCCATGGCACCAAGAATGGAACACAATATTCCAAATGTGGTCTGACAACTCAATATGATTCAGAAAAACATTTATTGGGTGCCTTTTATGCTCCAGACTAATATTTTTCTTGATTTTAACTATACTTCTGTTAATGCACCTTAAAGACACATTAGGTTTGTTTTAGACCATTTCAGATTACCACAAGAAAAACAAGACCAGATTCTGTTATTGAAACTCTCAGTTCATCCCACTGCTGTGAGTTCTATAGTCATTACAATGTAGTAGAAGAAGTTTTTAAGCCATATGGACCTGGGTGGACCCTGTCATCTATTAGCTGAGTGACTTTAAGCTGGAAAAACACTAGTTCACTTGCAACATTTCATCCAAGACCCTGATAAAAATAATCTGAAAAGTCAACACCAATGACAAATTTGTGTGGTGCAGAAGATTATTCTCTAGACTGATGATGATCCATCAGTCTCATTATGGAGTGAATGCCTCTCATGTTTCAGGAATGGAAGATGAGATGGTCTAGCTAGTCAAGGAAAAAAAGAAAGAGAAAGAACACTACTTCTGTGCCAGGCACTTAATATACATTACCTTGTTTCATTACAACCTTATAAGATAGGCACATTGTTTTCACAGGGAAGGAAACCAAGGAATTAAGTAATTAAATGATGTGTCTAAGATCACATGGGTAGTGAGCTGAGAAGCTAGACTCAAACAGTTCTGCCTCACTCCCATTCCTAACCATTACACTGCAGGACGAGCACAGGAAGAACAGGTGTCGGGGGGAGGGGTGGGCCAAGACAGGAAAGATCCCACACGGTGACATAAGCAGTATGGAGCTAGAGGTAAAACCAGGAAGGTTAGATAGAGGCCAAATTGCAAAGATCTTAAACTCCATGCCAGGAATGTGGATTTGATTCGTTAGGCTATTAAGAGTCAACCCCTACTGGATATAGTTAGAGAATCCATTCAAATATTTGAAAACGCATTTCACAGATAACGATAAGGGGTTTGGAGACAAATAAATGAGCCTAAGTGGAGCATGTATTATTTTAGCTAGAGATGGGAGGAAATATTTCCTGGACAGAAGTGACTTAAATCAGGGAAAAGGTGATACGAGTATCTCAGGGAAAAACACCCCAGCCTGGAGGGGCCTCTGAGTATGCCTGGCATATTTCATGGCTGAGAAATACGAACAGGGACAGTTAGGCTGGGAAAGAACTAATGAGGGGAAGAGGCATAGGAAATAAAGACCAAGAGATGGCAAGAACCAGATCACATATACCACTTTATTTGTAGTGTAGTGAGAAGCCACTTTTGAGTGTTTTGAGTAGGAAGTAACAGTGTTCCATTTATTTGTATTATTATTGTGGCTGCTATTATTATTATTATTATGCTTTCCTGAAACCATAATATGTTAAATTTATGCATTTCCCCTAAAATGCCTGTCCAAAACACTCCAAAAAAGAGAGATCAGTCGGCATACTTATTCTCAGCAAACTCATGCTGACTTCTACTTCTTAGTTAAGTGCCCATAAACCAAACATTACTAATCTGTTCTAGAATCTTTCCCAGAACTTGGTTTGAGAATCCATCATTCTTTCTTCTCTGTCCCCAAATTCTTTTTTTTTTTAATTTTTATTTATTTATGATAGAGAGAGAGAGAGAGAGAGAGAGAGAGGCAGAGACACAGGCAGAGGGAGAAGCAGGCTCCATGCACCGGGAGCCCAACGTGGGATTTGATCCCGGGTCTCCAGGATCGCGCCCTGGGCCAAAGGCAGGCGCCAAACCGCTGCGCCACCCAGGGATCCCTGTCCCCAAATTCTTTATTGGAAACCTATAACCATATTTCCCCTTCTCCTATCTTGTGGCATGAAGCATGGGTAATTAATAGGTAGATTGCATGGTACCATATGCAGATGCAGTGGAATGAAAGAGAGAGAATGAGGGGAGAGAGAGAAAATGTAAAAGTGGAAGGATTTGGAGAAACAGAAAATAGGGCAAGAGTGACCCAGGTGGGCTGCATGGGACATACTGAAAGGGTGAAACTGCAGAGGTCTGCTGGGTGGGATGAACACATGACTGCAGAGGCACTCTGTCATTTCACCTAAACACTGAAAGGAATCACACAAAAATGATAATGTTGATCCTCACTGGATGGCTGGACTGTGGCTGAATTTTTCTTACATTTAAGGTAAATTTTATCTAGTATTGTTATGTCACTTCCCTAATTTAAAATAGATTTTTAAAAAAAAGAAAGTTAGGTAGGGGAATTTATGTCTTGGAACAAGTAAAAGTCAGGGTAATCACAAATCTTGAGTTGATGAAATATAAATCTTAAGAAGCTGAAATCAGATCCAATGCAAAGATTTTTCCCTTTAAAATGTCACAAAAATTGGAGGAAGAATGGAGAATGCAGAGCCGAGAGGAAAGACTGCACAATCTGGAAGAGCAAAATTCTGACAGTTTCATGATGCTGCCGGGGTTTTTCCCAATATACAACTGGATGGTGAAAGTTGAAAAATCAGACAAACAAGAACCCATCAGGTATCCTATAATATCACCCAGGACTGTTGCTAGAAAAGAAGAGGTGTGTTTGGTGTCTCAACCTAACCCCCATAATGGCTCCAGAGGCCTAGGTGGGCCAAAAGGAAGAGAGAAAACAAATTCTTTTGGAAAAAAGAAAATAAGGGACGCCTGGGTGGCTCAGTGGCTGAGAGCCTCCCTCCCTGGGTGGCTCAATGGCTGAGAGCTCAGGATGTGATCCTGGAGTCCCAGGATCAAGTCCCACATCAGGGTCCCTGCATGGAGCCTGCTTCTCCCTCTGCCTGTGTCTCTGCCTCTCTCATGAATAAATAAATAAAATCTTAAAAACAAAAGAAAAGAAAAAGGAAAATAAGACGAAACAACAAACACGTATATATAGATACGTACATACATACAAAAACTAATCCAGGCAAGGAAAAGCCTCTAGTACTTTCCCTTCAAAAGACATTTTGAGTGGCTAGGCTTTAGAGGCTATCATGGCCCACTCCCTTTAAAATTACTTGTGGGGTGCCTAAGTGGCTTAGTCGGTTGAACATCCAACTCCTGATTTCGGCTCAGGTATAGTCTCTGGGTCCTGGGATCAAGCCCAGGCTCTCTGCTCAGCCAGGAATACGCTTGTCTCTCTCTCTCTCTCTCTCTCTTTCTCTCTCTGCCCTTCCCCCTGCTCCCATGCTCTCTCTCTTTCTCAAATAAATGAATAAATCTTTAAAAACAAAGTAAAAATAAAAACAAAGCAAAACAAAATAACTTGTGACTTATTTATATTCCAAAATTTCCCTGGTAAATATGTTAATGAAAAGTGTTTTTGCGGGGGTGGAGGGGGTTGCCTAGTGGCTCACTTGGTCAAGCATCTTCAGCTCAGGTCATGACCTCAGGGTCCTGGGTTTGAGCCCTGTCAGGCTCCCCACTCAGTGGGGAGTCTTCTTCTCCCTCACTCTCTGCCCACCCCCATGTACTCTCTCTCAAATAAATAAATAAAATTTTAAAAAAAAAGTTTTTTGCATTTTCATAACCAATAATGAAAACCTTTTCTTATCTTTTATCTGACATTCCTGATTAACTTTATTTACTAAGTGTGTTTTTATGCACTCCCATTTCACTTTTCCCACCATCCCCCAATTCTAGTCTATCAGTCACCACTCTCTAAGACTAAAAATCTATTATCTGGCACCCACCTATGTCTTCTTTACTGTTGATATAAAATTCTAGTTGACTTAAACACAAATTCCACATTAATATCTCTCCAAGGGGATGCCAATAATTGCCTGGAAGCAAGAAATACAGTTTCTTAATTTTTCTTTTGATATTTTGTCCTTATTGCCTCTGTTCAAAGCCTGAAATGATGCCAAATATAACAGCATCAGATTTTGTATGGAACACTTTTTTTCCTAGTTTATCCACATTCATTTTTTATTATTATTTATTTAATTTTTGTACAGAAGACCTTTAAAGTATTTTTTTTATTTTTTTAATTTATGATAGTCATACAGAGAGAGAGAGAGGCAGAGACACAGTCAGAGGGAGAAGCAGGCTCCATGCACCGGGAGCCCAACGTGGGATTCGATCCCGGGTCTCCAGGATCGCGCCCTGGGCCAAAGGCAGGCGCCAAACCGCTGCGCCACCCAGGGATCCCCCCCCTTTTTTTTTAAATTTATTCATAGAGAGACACACACACAGAGACAGACACAGGCAGAGGGAGAAGCAGGCACCATTACAGAGAGCCCGACGTGGGATTCGATCCAGGGTCTCCAGGATCACGCCCCTGGGCTGCAGGCGGCGCTAAACCGCTGCGCCACCACCACCGGGGCTTGTACAGAAGACTTTTAATGGTTAGAGAAATTCCAGCTTTCTCTTTCATTCATTCACTCATTCATTTTTATTGTGGTACAACTGACTCAGTTTTCTTCAATAATTCCTAAATATGATGCAAACCCAAATGATTAACTCCATAAAAAGACATAAACTTTACCTAAAAGCTTTAATTCATAGTTTTAAAAAATATTATTCCTGATATATTTGTCCTACAAGATAACCCAGTGATTATAACATTTTGCTTTGATAATAAAGTCCATAGAACATAACAATACACTTACTGGAAGGCTTAGGAATTCATTAAAGTAGTCCACAAGGAAATCATCTGTTGCCAAAGAATCTTCCTGCAAAAATATAAAACATGATATCATGCTTATACTAAAATGTTTTATAACATGCCAATATTATTCCCTAATTCTGTATATCAAGAGATAATAAGGTAGATTTTCAGATCTTTTTCAGTCTATCAACAGCAAATCCTCACTATAAACAGAATACAGTGCTACACTCTCTGGAAATAAGAAATAAGAAAATAGAATGGAGTATACTCATAAAAGATTTTGCTAATATGCCAAAAACAAAACACAGGGAAAATATAGCACGACACTTAAATGGAATGAAGTACACAAAACACTGCACAAGGGAAATTTCCCACAGACTTATCTTTATACATTTGTGTATATATTATTATTCACATTTATATTATATATATTTCATAAAAATAATGGCAGAATCAATAAAGACAGAACCAGTGTTTGAAGTTAAAATGAAATTCAGAATGTAAATTTCTTCAATTGCTAGTGGAAGTGATAAACTGAGGAAAGAAAATATTCTACTGTTTCCTTCCAGAATGAGATAGCTTTAGGAATTTGAGTTGCTTCATTTTTGCATGAAGAAACTTTGATAATGTATTTATTCTAAGCACAAAGATTGTATATATTTTTTCCGTAACTATCTCACCCACCAACATAGTCGCTTTTAAAATTGGCAAAATTGGAAAGCCACTGCCAAGAACAAATTCTCTCTTCCAAATAAAACACCTTATTTTATTAGCAATTGTTTCCATTGTGTCAAAAGCACATCATGGCATAATGTTATATAGAACATGTGTTTATTTTGTTATTCATAATTATATTTCCACTTTGCAAATCTAACATGAAAGATGACAATATGTCACAATGCTATTATTTCCATATGGCTGATTATTTTCTTCTTATATGGCCAATTTAAAAAATTTGTTGAAGTAGAGTGTTGCAGTATAAGGAAAATACTGTAGCATATTAACTTGGAAAATAGATTTTTTTCAGAGTAATTTAAGTATTTGTAGTACAACTGGAATAGAGCTATAAATAACCACATAGGGGGCAGCTGGGTGGCTCAGTGGCTGAGCGTCTGCCTGTGGCTCAGGGTGTGATCCCGAGTTCCAGGATCGAGTCCCACATCAGGCTCCCTGCATGGAGCCTGCTTCTCTCTCTGCCTGTGTCTCTGCCTCTCTCATGAATAAATAAATAAAATCTTTCTAAATAAATAAATAGCCACCCACATAGGATTTATATCAAGGAACTTACTAAAAATCTGTGAGCTTTCAAAAAACAAATTAAGGATTCAGTTTACTAAAAAAAATCTCAAATGATTAAAACAACAACAAACAACTTAGGATCTCATAAATCTTCTACATTCAAAGCAGTGCCTCATTAATATATTCTCAAAGTTCTGACTCACAAAGATCCAGTAAAGCAGAACAAGGCAGATAACATTTGGTGGAGGCTGTATACAACTAAAAGGCTTCCAAATTTTACCTTTCAAAATTACTTTACTTTTCTGGACTTTATTTGGTGAACTACCTATTTTCTGCTAACTCTTAAAAGAAATCAACTGAACTTAATAAATATTTTTAGGATCTCCCAGATGGAAGGCACTGTGCTACAAGAAGGGTGGCCAAACTGCACTTCTGGGCTCATGATCAAAAATCCTCAGATGGGAAGCATGAGTATTTTTAATTAATAACAGTAGTGGAGTACAGTCCCTTGTTAATTTTTCTAAAATAGCATTGTACTTTTAAATTTCACCTATAAAGCACAAGGTATACTTCACAGAATCAAGTGAACCTAAATATTGCCTAGAATATGGCCAGCCACACATAGTCAGAAACTTCTAGATAATCCTTGGATTCATATTTTCATTTCCTGATGCCTCACCCTTCTCAGAGACTCTAACTCAATGATTTCTAAACTATGTGATGAAGTCTTTTGTTTTTTTCCCCAATCCTTAAGTTTCAAACAAATAACTTGTAAAATGCAAGACAAATGAACTAGGAAACAAAAGATATACATAAGACAAAAGACCAATTGCTTATTATTAAATTCAATAGATACAAACATACTGTCACCATATCATAAAGTTTCTGAATGTTTTCTTTCGATTTCCGAACTCATCTCAACAAGGAGGGTGTTGGGGCAGTGCTCCTTAATATGAGGTCTGGTCCCCAAACCTTCATATTAAGGAGCACTGCCTCAACACCTTGGTGAGTGGTTTGCTCTCAGCAACCTCAGGTCCCCCCGAAACCCAGCCACATTGTAGGGCATTTCCTTGGTTTGCATTCACAAGCACAGAAACTCAAAGTGTTCAAAAACATCAAAATCTGTATTTCTTTTCTGAAGTTGAGTCGTACTTTCTCCCCATATGAAATATCAGCACTTGCGCTACTATTATGGGGAGTTGTACAAGAGAAGCAAGCATGGTCTCTGAGTCCAATGTGCTCCATCCTCCTGTTGCACTTTCACAGGAAGACCTACATTTCTCTAAATAAATGAGCACATCTTCCTACTAAAGTTTCTAGTCCAATGAGTTCAGATATTTTGTCATAATGAGAATCTTTATTCAATCCTTCACTTATTACTTATTTATCCTTATTAAGGATCTTAATAAACCCTTTATTCTCAAAACTCTTTATTTAAAAAAAAATTTAAGGCCTTGATCTGAAGCAGCAGCCTAGTTACTCTCAGTAAAGCCTCCACAATCTAGTCACATGGCTGTATTAAAATGAACAAAGTCGCCATATTTGGGATTAATATGTTCCGAATAACCAATAAACTGGTAACCGTTATTAATGGTACAATCAAGAAGAACACTGAATTACAATCAATTCCTCCATTACATCATTCCATGAACCTGACTGCAAAATTAGCAACACAGATTCTCTGCAGAATGATGCAATGGAAGGCAGGAACATTTTTTCAGAACTGAATACACACTTGAAACCTGTTTTTTTCATGTACTACAGGTGTGCCATCTGTGAAAGTGAAGTCAGCTTTTCCGTTTTTAGTCCAAACTTCTCAAGTTTCTTCCTGAAAGAGGGTTAAGCAAAATAGTTTATATATGCTAGCTAATTATGGTGGGTAAAAATTTTTTTTTGCTTAAAAATTTATTTTGCTGCACCCTCAAATCAGAAGAACTACAATTAGTTCGCCCCTCTAAAAGAGGAAGATATACAAAGAAGACCTTATAAACAAGAAGGATGAAATAAGATAAACACAGACATAAACCACAGTCCACAAAAGAACATGATACATACCAAAAGAAAATTACAATATTAAATGTTTCCTCTCAAAGGAAGGAGACATATTATCTGGTAGGAGGAATCAAAAGAGACTCCAGTGGAGAAAATGGCATTTGAAATAAAGTCAAATTCTATAATCAGAAATACATATATGAGGGATCCCTGGGTGGCGCAGCGGTTTAGCGCCTGCCTTTGGCCCAGGGCGTGATCCTGGAGACCCAGGATCGAATCCCACGTCAGGCTCCCGGTGCATGGAGCCTGCTTCTCCCTCTGCCTGTGTCTCTGCCTCTCTCTCTGTGTGTGTGACTATCATAAATAAATAAAAAAAAATTAAAAAAAAAAGAAATACATATATGAGAGGCAATAATGCAGAGTACAGAGAAATATGCATGAGCAAGGAAGGTGGAAAGCAAAACATAATAAAGGTTAGCTAATGGGAGAAGTAGAAAAATAATCCAAGTTTCAAACTTCCTTGCAAGCCATTTACACATTAAACCAAAGCCATTCATCTAATTTCCAATGTGGAATCCTTTACTGATACACTTTAGATTAGGAATACTCTTATTAATTGGTGGATAAAATAGACCAGATTTCCAAAATCACACCTACCAGGATGCACTTATTTTTGCTGCTTCTTCCTAAAGTACACATAGTCTTTTTTTTTTTTCCTCTTTTCTAAATAAGCCAGTAACTAGACCATAGCTTCCCTGTAGGATGTGATGACACTGTGCTATACAGACAACGGAATTTAGTGGGTCAAGTCAGTGGACCTCTTCAGCCTTTAAGGCAACCAGGTGCAGCCAGGGATGGCTGGAGCTCCCAGGATCGTGACCTCTGGTTGTGAGCAACTTGTTTAGGACTCGTGTCCATCTTCCTCCCCTGGAGAAGGTGATTGATGAGTTATATCCCACACCCACTGCTCCTCTGTAAGACACTGAGCATAGCCAAGGAGTTGCTCAAGCCCCTGGACATAGATTTATTAGCTATCTGCAGAGCATATCACTGTTCCATGAAACTGCCAGAAGAGTTTGAGATGTCCAAGAAAACAGTGCACAGCCAAAAGTGCTGACAGCTTCGAGGAAGGAGGGAAGGGAGATCCTGGAAGGCTACAGATGATGGCTCCAAATCTCTGCCTTCACATATATCAGATATTTCTTTCTATTGGTAATTCATGTATGCCTGTAGTGTTACCCAAGCTAGATACAAGATGATCACTCAAAAACTGTATGCATATACTGCAACATAGTTTCATCATTATTTTGAAATATTTGAAATGAAACATTTTATTGATTTCTAAATCAATTTGTTTATCCTAAGAAATTTTGACATAGTATTTGTCATGAGAAAAAGAACAATTAAATTTTAAATATCAACTCTTTCAATTTTGAATGGTTACCAAAAAATAGTCTAAAAATTTTAACTCTTATTAGGTGATACGGGTTCTTACCAACAGAGACTATTCAAGAATTTTAAGAGATCATCATTAAAAAGTCTTGATTAGTAACTGCATACAGACATTTCAACCATAAAACTTGAAATTAAAAAGTTACCTATATCCAAAAAGGAAATTAAGAAAATTATTCCATTTACAAAGATATTTGCTGCAAAGAAGTTAGAGAAGACATACATACATGGAAAGACATACCATGTTTATGAACTGGAAGACAATATTGTTAAGATGATAACACCACCCAAAGCAATCTACAGATTTAATATAATCTCCACCAAAATCTCAATAACATTTTTTCAGAAATGGAAAAACTCATCGTAAAATTCATCTGGAAT